ATGTTTTATTTATCAATGGACCTGATCCTGTGAAGCAGGATCCATGGATCAGAGAATTTGACGCATGCTCGGGAGTGCGGGCTAGCAAATACTAAGCTGTCTGAGTTAGGCTGAAGTTAAAGCAATTTCGAGTTGCATTTTCGCAAACCAACTAGATAGAAATCACTAGATACTATGCGTTTTGTCTTCCATGGTTGACACCGAAGCCAGGGGCGATCGCAAGTTATCCCCGCCCCCGGCTGACAGTTGTTTACTTTGTGCAGGTGAAAGTGGTTATCACTCCGCGTACTTGATCCGTGATCATATCTCACCCACTTCTCTATTTCACCCTCATAGGCTCCAATAACCTCGACATGCGAGCGGTGTGAGATGACCACTGGATGTTACAGGGTCCAGTTACATTTCATTAGATGAGCCAGCTAATGCAATGGAATTCTACCAAACATGCAGTAGAAAGATCAAATTTATTAGGAACAACGAGACAAAATTAAACAAAGAGGCCCAAAAAGGCAGCGCAATGTGTTTATCATTAAAAGTAGGGCGCATTCCGAACTACTGTTCCGAGGAAATGAATAGCAAGGAATACGCGGGATCCTAGGGAATATGCATCTCGAAATACTCCAAAGATGCTACTAGGGGCGGCCGTCGTATTTGCGCATATTGACGTGGCCCATGAAGATGAAAGTTTGATAAGTCGTGCATTTTGATTCCCAGCTTCACTGCTGTTTGGCCAACATAGACATCCTCGAATGGGAAAAATTGAGTGTAGGCCGTCGCAATGGATAGTGATCCCACGGCATCAGCGCCAATGAAGTAGTACGGACCATTAACATAATCTCGGTTTGGTCCTTTGAACGAAACAGGACCAAATCGAACGAAGAAGATCCCCCGACGGGCCAGGCAGAAGAGGAGCCAGGGTTACCAGGACCCTAGAACGGAGAACAAGGCGTCACGCTAATTGCTGTTCATGACCCCCTGCTCCACGGACAGCTAATTAGCATACACCCCTTTAATGGCCTCCCGACTCCACTGATAGCTAATTGCCTCCCTCCCCCATTCCTGTTGATAGCTGTTTCTAACGCCCTGACAACTTGATTATTGCTGACAGTCGATTGGCCTATGGCCACTATAATTACCCTTGTTTTGTTGCTACTTCTCACCT